GCCTCCCTTGTTTCAGTCCCTTCCCCTGACCTCCCAAGGCTGCATGTGTAGCCCATGGGGTGGGGTGGAGACACACCTGGAGGCCAGTCTGTTGGGAGCCCAGCTGCACAGGTCGGGGGCAGGTGCTCCATGCACTTGGATGAGCAGATTCCAGGGCCAGATCTTCACATGAACAGGGGTTGCACCCCATCCTCTTAAAACATTCAAGACTCACGTAGTGTAGAAAATGCTAGGAAACAAATGACCAAATAAGTCTGGGGGTGGGGCATCCATGGATGGGGCGGGCATCCCCGAGGCCATTTTAATGCAGAGCAGGGAGGAGGAGGCGGGTGGCAAGGATCCTGGCTGGAACAGCAGCCCCCCAGGAGCAGCAGCCATTGGGGCAAAGGGCACAAGCATTTGTGGGACCCACCAGCTGGTGGAGGCTCACGGCAGAGCAGGTGAGTGCAGCGCTGCAGACAGGAGGAGCTGGAGAGGGCTGGTGCGGCCGTGGCAGACGCCCAGGCTGCAGGTCAGAGGGCTGCCTCCCAAGGGTGGCGATGGAAAGGGAGACACCGATGTGGCGAAGACACGGGGCAGCCGGTGGAAACGAGTTAAGAGTCAGGAGGCGTCAGGCCCAACAGACTTTTCGGGCCCGAGTGGCAGCAGAGTGGGCAGAACACAGGACAGCGCTGCAGAGGGGACAGAGAAGTGTGGCTGGGGTGAGGGGGCGGCAGCAGGTATGCAAGTGGACATGTTCCAGAGACGGACCTGAAGCTCAGGAGGGCCTGGGGGTGCAGCCTTCGGGCCGGTGCCGATGCTGAGAGCTGCAGCCCGTGACCGACACCTCAGGGTCTGCAGCACAGGGGTTGTGGGTGCGTGGCCCTGCCCGGCCCGGCCCTGGGCGGGGTGCCAAGAAGGCAGTGGTGACCAACACTGAGCCCTCTCCTTGGAGCTCAGGAACAGTGGCCCCTCGGAAACCCCCTCTTAAGGTGGCGGGAGGAGAAACCGAAGCAGGGTGGCCCCAGAGGTGAGCTAAGGGGCCAGCACCAGGGCAGCAGAGGGGGAGAGGTTCAAGGAGGCAGCTAACCACTGGGATCACCAAGGAAAAAGGGCATCAGGTTAGGGATGTCACATCAGCAGTTAGTTTCCAGTGCACCTTTGTCCCTGACAGCCTCTGGACTGACAGCATTGGAGAAGCATTGGGTGAGACAGCCCCTCTGCTCTGCCCACCTTGTAGATCCAAGGACACTGGTCCCTGGGGAGCTCTGCCATGCTGGAGAGCGCAAGGTCCGGCAGTAGTCCCAGCAGCTGGGGCCGGACGTGGGAGCCGACCTGGGACAGCCAACCTCTCCAGGCACATGGCTTCAGCCCCTGGCCCGCAGGTGCTGTAGCTCAGAGCCAGGGCATCAGAGCCAGCCTGTCCTGGAGGCTTGCTTGGCTGCAGAACAGCAGTCCCCCTTTCTGCCCCCCACTGGCCCCCATCAGAGGCTTCCCTGGGAGGTGGTGGGCCCAGCGGGCGCTGAGCCGCTGGCTTCTGTAACAGGTGTATCATCAAGCACCTGGAGGGGCTGGTCGTCCAGTATGACCTGACGGTCCGTGACAGCGACGGCAGCGTGGTGCAGTTCCTGTACGGGGAGGATGGCCTGGACATCCCCAAGACGCAGTTCCTGCAGCCCAGGCAGTTCCCCTTCCTCGCCAGCAACTATGAGGTAGTGTTGCTCTGAGCGCCCGGGGGTGGCGGGGCCAGGGCTGTGTGCTGGGCCTCCCACCCTGAGCTTTGCCACTCAGTCAGACTGGCCACTGAAAACTCGTGCGGGAAGAGTTTAAGAGCGCCAGGGCCTTGGAACACCTGACGTTTTCAGAGCCCCTCTGGGTACTTCCATCAGACTTCCGTGAGATGGCAGAGAGTCACGCGGACCTCCAGAACGACAGCACCGTGTGGGGGCATTTGTTGTGTGCTGGGCCCTAGGCCAGAGCGCACTGTGGATGCTCTCTGCCCTCATCCTCACTATAGCCTGGGGAGGCAGGGCCTCCTCTGCCCATTCTACAGCTGAGGCCACTGAGCATGAGCTTAAGTGACTAGCTGGTGAGTGGCAGGGCTCGTGTGTGCACCCGGGCCCTCTGACACACAAGCTCGTGATCTTCATACCATCCCTTCGTGCTGCAAGAGTGATCATCACGGCTGACCGAGCAGTCACCTCGTTTTGCAGAGTGGGAAGCTGAAGCTGAACTGGCCTGTCTAAGGTCACGCAGCAGGTGGTTGAGTTGCAGGTGGAGCTCTGGGGCTGGCTCCTTTCCACCTGGCTCCTGTCCCCTCCTTTCTTCCCAGAAATTTCCGTGTTCAGAGAGACTCCAGCTGTGTCGGTCTCTCCCCATGGCCTCAGCTCCTGAGACCGCCAGCTCCCAAGTCTGGTCTGCCCAGAGTGAGGGCCCTGGTTAGGAGTGGGAGCTCGACCCCACCCGCAAGGGGCATCACAAACGCCCCACACAGGCCACCTCAGTCCTGTGAAGTTGTGTGACATGTCCCTTGTGTCCCACCCTCACCTCTTCGTTCCTGTGTGTGGTTGGTTTGCTTAGGTGATAATGAAATCGAAGCATCTCCATGAAGTTTTATCCAGAGCAGATCCCCAGAAAGCCCTCCGCCACTTCAGAGCCATCAAAAAATGGCAAAGCAAGCATTCCAACAGCCTGCTGCGAAGGGGTGCCTTCCTGAATTATTCCCAGAAAATTCAGGCGGCTGTGAAAGCCTTGAACCTCGAGGGCGCAAGCCAGAACGGCCGCAGCCCCGAGACTTGCCAGGTGATCCTGGGGGGGGGTGGGGGTCAGTCAGGGCTGGCGGGGATGGAGGAGCACTTCCACAGTGGAGGGGACAGTAGTGAAATCTGGCTTCATTCACCGCCTGTCAGGAAACAGATGGCCCTCAAACAGGAATTCAAGGAGGGGAACCCTTACAGAGATGTGGGCAGGGTTTCAGGAAACTGGCTGGGGTTCTCCACCGCCCACCCCGACTGGATATGAAGGAACAGGGGGAGTGGTCACCACCGCGGACCGAGGCCACCTGACAGGAGCCCTCAGGAGAGAGGCTGGGGCTACTCAGAGGCTCCTTAGAGAGGCTGGGGGATGAGTGCCCGGCCTCACTCTTCTCCCGCTTCCCTTTCTGCTCCTGGGACCTCCCATCAGCCAGACACAGCGGGGAGCCTGGAGGCAGAGGAAGCAGCTCTGGGGCATCGAGTGTGTGAAGGCCTGAGTGGGGGACAAACAGGGATCCAGCACAGTCACCTGGCTCCTGGTGACTGTGTCCTGCTTGGCCCGGGACAGCCCCGGGTTTGTGTCTCATCCCAGAATTATTATTAATAGTGCCCTGTTTCACTCTACAAGAATCTCAGCCTGGACAGTAACTTACTGGCCAGAACGAATTGCTCATAGAGTCGTGGTTAAGCAGTGAGCCTTGGGATGGATTCGGCTTCACCTGTTTTAGATGTTGAGACGGTTCTCGAATTGCAGCCAGGTTTCTGTCTCTTTCCCCCACTCATTTGGAGCCAGAGCCTTTGCCCCTCCTTGTCCTGTGCTGGGTGTCCAGGAAGAGAAGCCCATTCCTGGTGTCCTCCAGCACAGCTCAGGCCTGCTCTCCGTTTCAGATGTTGAGGATGTGGAGCGAGTTAGATGAGCAAAGCCGAAGGAAATACCAAAAGAGGGCAGCCCCTTGTCCTGACCCCAGTCTCTCCGTCTGGCGCCCAGACATCTACTTCGCGTCAGTGTCAGAAACCTTTGAAAAGAAGGTGGATGACTACAGTCACGAGTGGGCAGCTCAAGCAGAGAAGAGTTATGAGAAGTCAGAGCTCTCTCTCGACAGGTAATGACGTTGATTTGTCGCACAGCCTGTGCAGGGGAAGGATCTGCTTCTCAGGCCCGTCCCTACCCACACCGGCCGCCTCCTGCGTTCAAGGCTCCAGCCAGAGGGAGGGAAGTGAAACAGAGGGTCCGTTGCAGGCACTGAGCGCTCCAGGACAGATGAGAGCAGGTAGGCAGGGACGCAGCCCCCCATCTGGGCCAAGACAGAGAGGAGTACACTGCTGGACAGAGGCTCCCACAAAGGACCTCTCCCTTGAGTTTGGTGTGATGGGTGTGGTTAAGTGACAGTCAGGGAATCTAGTCACCATTCGGTGCTGCCAGCTCGGTGACCTGGGGCAAGTCATTCCCTGCCCATGAAACCGTGTTTCAGCCTCTCATTAGGGGTTGGATGTGATTATTCCAGCAATCCTTTGAGCTTTGGGTTTCAAAGCCTCGAGGAAGAAGGACCACCTGGAGCCCTCTACTTGGACTTGCTTACAAAAAAGTAAAACAGGAGAAAGTCGTGTGGGCTAGGCAGGTGGGCAGCCAGGTGTAGACCAGCACTGAGCCACGACGGCTCAGAACATCAGAAGTGCCCCCGAGGAATGCCTGCCGGGCGCTGGTCTCAGAGCCGTGGTCAGGGGATCCTGCCCGTTCAGCTCGCTCGGCCTGGCCCGCAGCACCGAAGACGGAGGCCGTGTGGGAAGCCCAGCGGGGTGCGTGGAGAGGCTGAGGTCCGGGGAGTGGGGCTGCAGGGAAGATGAGCCAAGACGAACACCTGGGTGGAGGGCCCCGAGGGGAGCGACAGGGCTCTCTTTTCACTCTTTAGTGTGGTTTCTCCCCCAGGCCTCAGAGATTTGCAAATAGAGTAAACCATGCCCAGCTTGTGACCTAGCTGCCAACAGGGCTTTCCCTGAAAAGAGCAAGGCCCTGATCCCGCCCCCCACCCAGCCCCCTTCACCTGCCTCCCTGCAGCTCAGGTTACTGCCATTTACCTTTATTTATTTTTAATGGAGGTTCTGGGGATTGAACTCAGGACCTTGTGCACGCTAAGCATGTGCTCTGCCACTGAGCTCTACCCTCCCCACCACCATTCCCCTTCAGAAGGACCATGCTGGCCCTCCCTCTAGCTGTGGGAGAGCATAGCCCTGGGGAGCATCACTTGGGCTCAGAGGGCCAAGATGGTGGATCTGCCTCAGTGGCTCTTTTGCAGGGGACTTGTTGGCAGGCAGCAGTCTCTGGGTGCAGCTCCAAAGTTCTGGAAGTATTTGAAGATTTTTCCTATCGGGAATGCTAACACAGAGCCCAACCTCACTGGTTTGAAGTAATGGGGAGAAAAGACACATCAGGTTAGCGAAAGGCCTGACTTTTCTTGAGAAGAACTCGCACAGCAGTTTTATTACGTTTTTCTGCTTTCACACATTACGTGGTGTGGTCTCCATTTGTTGAGCCCCCTCCTTGTCCCGGGCGCTGGGGTAATGCAGGGTTCTGTGGCTGCTCTAAAAGGGCCGGCTTTCCTGGGAAGAACAGTTTGCAAATTACAGAATTGTGGCGCATGGGTACTTCCAACATGGCCTGCAGCCATTTGCGCTAACTAAGAAAATAAGCACCCGGTTTCCTCTCCCCCCCCGAATCTCCATAATTGCTTTGTGAACCTCTTCCTGTTTTGCTTAGAGAGAGGTTTAAGCCCTCTCCAAGCTGTCACAGCTAATGGGGAAAAATGAATTAACAAAAGCAAGTATGAATGGTGAGCTCAGAAGTTCCATTGACATTCTCAGGGGAACGTAAACTGTCCGAGCCCGGACAGCTAGAGCTGCAGCCACCCGGCTGGGCTCTGTGCTGCGTGATTTCGGGTCGCTGGCAGGAATTTAAAGATGAGAAGGACCATGTGCCTAGAAAAACAAGCCCAGATAGAGGGAGAGGTAATATGTCCATGCACGCGGCTCATGGGTGGCATCGGCAGCTCCTGAAAGGCAGGTGGTGTCTGTGCCCCTGACGCCTGCTGTCCCCTGCCCCATCTCCAGGTTGAGGACCCTCCTGCAGCTGAAGTGGCAGCGCTCGCTGTGCGACCCGGGTGAGGCCGTGGGCCTGCTGGCCGCCCAGAGCATTGGGGAGCCCTCCACACAGATGACCCTGAACACCTTCCACTTTGCCGGCAGAGGCGAGATGAACGTCACCCTGGGCATTCCAAGGTGCGGGGCTGCGAGCGTGCACAGGGTGGGGTCTGTTGTAGCCCACTCCTGGGGAAGGAGTTTAATTAGAGAGAGAAGGTGTGTGTGTGTTTGAGAGGGGGGGGGGGTCTCATCAAAGCAGGGATAGGGTTGGAATTTCCAGAGCCCGGCTGGTTTCTGTGGCTAGATCCATGCCCCGCGCCTCTTAGAGTCTCCATCTCTCTCTCTGCCAACTCCTGTATCCAAGTCACCTGGGATGCTTGTGAACCTGCACACTCCTAGGGTCAGGCCATGGTTGCCCAACTCCTGGGGCACCATTCACCTAGAACAGGACCCACAGTGGCCCTGGTCCTTCAGGTAAAAGCACGCACCCTGCAGGCTGATGGCTGCTGGACGAGAGGAAAGAACAGGGGTCAGGCTCACCTATGTGGCTCTGCCACTTTCTAGCAGAGTGGCCTCGGGGTCGTCGGCTTCCTCAACCTCAGGGTCTGTGGAAAGGAGGAGGGCAGGGCCCACTTGCAGCCAGCCTGCGCGGGCTGACAGCTCGCGGCCGAGGCCTGCGGCAGGGTCCCTGCGCTGAATGGGAGGCTGCAGGTGCCCGTTCCCTCCGTGCATCTCTCGTTCGTTGGGTAAGCGCTCAGCGTTCCTGCACTGCATTTGAGGCATGGGTGATAGGAAGCAGGAGTGACACGGCCTGTCCTTGAGGAGCCCATCCTCCCGTGGGGGAAAGTGGCAGCGGAGTCCCTTGCTGTCACTCACGGGGCCAGAACTGAGACTGCCTGATCCGGCATACTTCCCTGCGAGATCCCAGGGTCTCTCTCTCAGATCCCAGATCTCTGACATCTTCATGAGAAAGGCCTCATGCAAAGAGAGAATCCAGGTGCCTCTTATGATCAGATGTGTCCTCGTTCTGGGACAGGTTGAGGGAGATTCTCATGGTGGCCAGCGCCAACATCAAGACGCCCATGATGAGCGTGCCTGTGCTCAACACCAAGAAAGCACTGAAGAAAGTGAAAAGCCTGAAGAAGCAGCTCACCAGGGTGTGCCTCGGGGAGGTAACTGTCCCCTGGGGGCCCAGCTGCAGGCGTTCCCTGCGTCCTCCAGTCCTCCCTTCCGGGAAGAGCAGTCTTCAGTAGCTGCTCAGACCTTGGACTCAGACTCCACCAACGAGAGGGAGGCTTTCTCTGCCAGGGGCTGAGCAGGGATGGATCAGGAAGCTTTGAAAGTAATCGGCATTCTTCTGTGCCTTAAAAACAAAGACACTTCCTGGGTTAGCTTACCAGCCCCACGGGAGCCTCTGCCTGCCCCTCAGCCTCAGGCCATTCTCTGGAGGTGTGACCTACAGGCTGGGGGTCCCAACCAGCAGAGCTCACTGGAGTTTCTTTGGGGTTTCAGCCTGTGGTTCCCTAGCCCGTCCCCCCAGATCCTTGGATTTCCCATAACCCGCTTGTAATGATCGGTCTCAAGCATCGGGCGAATTGGGTTTTGTCCGTCTCTCTGGCTCTAGGTATTGGAGAAGATTGATGTCCAGGAGTCTTTCTCTATGGGGGAGAAACAGAGCAAGTTCCGGGTGTACCAGCTGCGTTTCCAGTTCCTGCCGCATGCGTATTACCAGCAGGAGAAGTGCCTGAGACCCGAGGACATCCTGCACTTCATGGAAACAAGGTCGGGACTCAGGCCACGTTTGTTGTTTCATTCTCATTGACCTGGAGGACTCCTGGTCACAGGACTCCCGGAGATGGGGCACATCTGCCCAAAGGAGTCCTTCAAGGGAAGTGTTTAGGGAAACCCTGCAGCTGAATCTGGAGAGCTCACCCCTAATCTGGCTTGTGGGTGTGACTGCATTAACTGCATACTCCTCCCTGCACCCTGTTCTGCTGGTCGACGAGTCCTGTCTGCTCGGGTTTGCAGGCTTCAGGAGGTGGAGGTCCGTGTACCATAAAGAGGATGGAGCCCTGTTGCAGTGATGCTCTGTGATGTCAGACCCGCACGTGGTCTGGGGTCCGTTTTTGACATGTGTTCCCTGATACTTTTATATTCTGCTGGGAATGAGCTGTGGACTGACTGATGGATGCTGCCTGTAAACTCCAGTTCTATAACTGGGGCTTCCTCCAGCTTCCCACAGAGAAATTCCGGTTCCCTGCTGGTAGGGAAAATGAACTTCCACTTTTTCAAGTTCAGGTTGCTGTTAGACATCAGGAAACACAGGCCCAGTGCTGAGCGTCCAGGAGTGGGGGTGGGGGTCACACGAGGGCTGGGGCCAGCCCGGAAGCATCAGCAAAGCGCGTCTGACTTGCCAGCCGACCCTGGGTGCGGAGCGCAGACCAGTGGCTGTGGGGCCGGCAGGTAACAGGGCCAGTGAGTCAGGTTGGAGCCCCCGGCAGGCTGGGAGGTGTGGCACCTGTCTTGAGGGGGCAGGAGTATGGGCCGGGTGGCCAGATCTTCTGATTCAAAAAAAGAAGAAAGCTCCCTCTCTTTTTTCTGTCTTTGGTTGTTTGATTGCTTGCTTTTGCTTTTTGTAAATAAGTCTTCTCTAATTTTTAAGCATCAGCAATTAATTCATATCTCTTTGAAAGACTGACAAGGCCCAGATAGATCCCATTTGTCAGTAGGATTTGGCCATGGACCACTAACCACTGCCTCTAGTCTGGACCAGCCCTTGGGTCTTCCAGAGCTGCTCAGAAGTAGCTGATGGGAGAGTCGAGGCACAACATCCACTGTCCTCAGTCATCCCACAAACCTTTACTGAGTGATGACCACCTACAGTCCAGTCATGGCAGGGCCGGGAGGGGCAGCTTGGCCCGGAGGGAGGGACGGTTCTGCCACGGGCCCTCTAAGCAGGTGGCATTTAGGATGGCTTGTATTATGGTCGATGAGCTCAGCCCTTTGGACAGGGATGGGCAGGTGGAGCTGGCTGGGCCACAGGGAGCACCTGCACTGCCCACCCCTCGCCTGGGTGGAGGAGGCTCATTTTGCCAGGCGGCTCTTGTGGTGCTGGGCCACCTCGCAGGAGACCCGCCTGGGCCCCAGCCTGCCGGCTCCTTAATTAACCGGGAGGAGCGTAACTCCCAGCGTGCCTCGTGTCTGTGCTGGCCAGGCAGGCGGCCCTTTTCTGAGAAACGGGGATCAGGATCACGGGGCCTCTTGGGAATTTTCGAGAGCAGGCGGAGTGGGACGACCTGCCCCACTTCTCTCCATCTTAGGTTCGGGCCTGCCACTCAGGTAGGTCGGCCTGAGGCGCGCGCCAGGCGGTGCTTGGAGTTCTTTTATTTACCTTATCCTGGAGAATTGAAAACCCATCACTTTAAAACAGTTTCTTCTCCGAGAGCCCTGGCTTCTTCCCAGTGGCGAAATACTTACTCAGCTCCTACTTTGTCTTTTGCTTGTGCACTTGAAAAGCTGTGATAATAAACATAGCCATGTGCATGTGCCCTTGGCGGAGCTACTCTGTGACCTTGGCAGAGTGGGCTGGAGACGGGGCGGGAGGTGAAGTGGGTGTGGCTGGGCGACCTTTGCCGGGGCTGGGCAGCGAAGCAGCCACGCGGGCCCCTTACAGACCCTGGCGGGGGGGGGGGGCGCCCTCGGAAGAGGGACCCCCCAGGAAGCTGCTGCTTTTTCCTTTCTCGCTTCTCCTCCCCCTTCTGCTCCTCCCTCCCCCCTCCTGTTCTCTCTCTTCCCCTTCTCCCTCTCTTCCTTCCCTTCCTTCAACCCAGCTGTGGGATCATGAGACTCTTCCGACGTAGACTGGAGGGGAAAAAAAAGACACAGAAGCGTGTCCCTAGCTGGAGCCATAAGCTGTGACGGTCCCCTCACTATCAGTACTGGCCCTCACCCCTTTGGCTGTTTGTGTGAATGACCTGGAAGGTGGGCGGGGCGGGGAGGTGGGAAGAGCACCCCGCGGGGGCGGGGGGTGTGAGTTCTGGGCGGCCGCATCGGAGCTCCTGTGGGTCTGACTGCAAGCCGCAGGTGGTGGAGCGGTCGGCAGGCACTTTGGGAAACAGCCCAGGGCCACGTTCCCTGTTGGTAACTGTGTGGGAGGGAGGTTTCTCTGCTGCTACCCCTCCGGTTCCCTCTCAGTTGCCACCTTGTGACAAACAGCACCACCTTCACACAGCAGCCACTGCGGGCCCCCGGTTCCCCGGCTCTGGGCAGAATCGCAGAAGGACAGCCTCCCCGCACCCCCAGGAGAGCCCTGGCGCGCTGGTAGCAGGCCTGCCACTTACCGGCCAGGGGCTTTTTCTCCTTCCTCACTTCTGCCATGGTCTGCACCAGTCCTGTTCACCAGAAAAGGCAGGCAGGGTGGGAGGGATGCCCACCTGGGAGATGAAGATAGGCCTCTTAGGGGTCACACCTGCACTGACAGCCAGCAGTGGGGGGCGGGTGCAGCACTGGCAGCTCGAGGGGAGGCTCGGGGAGTGGCTGGCAGAGCACGTGGCTTGAGCAGAAGCCCAAAGGATGCGCAGGGGTGGGTGGAAGCAGGTGGATATTTGGGGCTGAGGCCAGTTGTGAGGCGCCTGAAACGCTGCGGGGAAGAGCCTCAGAGGGGTGATAGCCCCTCAGGGGACAGGCCCGGGAGCCAGACGAGCCGGAGTGGCAGCCACACAGCAGGAGAGGCGAGGAGTGCGGCGGTGGACCGAGGTCCGGCTCGTCTCCCCACCTCCAGTCTGCGCCGCGGGCTGGGCCGTGCGGCAGGAGTGGCCCCACTGTACAGGCGGGGCCCTCGTCTGTCTCTGTCTCTGGATGAGACCTGCACCAGAGCCTGTCCTCTCAGGAGCGTCCCTTCCGCCCCCTCTTCCCAGTTGGACTCTGGCTTTCTAAGGACAAGCCGGGCTCCCCCCGACCTGGCCGCCTCATCCCTGCCCCCAGTGCCTGGTGGCCAGGCTCCTGCCTGGATTGGTGGGTGAGGACCTTTTTTTCTGCCAAGGGCAGAAACTTCAGCAAAACCATCTACAACTTTAAAAAGTAAAAAAAAATGGGGGGAGCGGGAAAGGAGCAGTCTTTGATTTTTAATGAACAAAACAGTAAACATGTGACTTGCCTGCTTCTCCAGTTAAGGCTCTAAGTGCCTGTCTTTTCATCCTTGCTTTGCCCCCCGGGGCTGGCACGTGGTGGGCACATCATAGGTGCTCAGGGAACAGAGGGTGGCTGGCTGGGCGGAGGAGGGACCTGTACTTCATGTGATTAAAAGCAGTTCATCTCGGTGTGCTGTTAGTGCTTGGTGAGGAAGACAGGCCAGAGGAGGTTATATGAAGAAAGGAGCAGGGGGCCAGGGGCCAGGGAAGACCACCCCCCACCCCCAGGCCCTGCCTCAAGTTGGTCCTTTTACATTGGTTTGGTTCTAACCTGTCGACATGATTTTCTGCCACAAAGTAAGTTATCACTGCCCTGGAGATTCTGATGAGCTCTTGCACATCTTAGTTCTCTAAGAACTGGTGGGGCTTCCACACCAAGGGAACAGGAGTCGGCAGGCCCAAGCAGTGCCGCCTCCTGGAGGTGCGTGGTGTGGCGGGCAGCAGGCAGGGGGCATTCCCCGTCCCGGCTGGGCTCCCTCACTGCCTGCAAGTTCTGTCACCCTCGTTGGACGGCCAACACGCAGGCCCTGTGACAGGTATCGGACGGACGTGGGGTTGTCTCTGATCCCGAGAGCAACAGCACATGATACATGTTAATACAAAGCTTAGGAGACCATCTGGGCTGATTGAGGCCGCGCCCCTGCGAGTGGCAGGGCACCCGCTGAGTCCAGGCCCACCGGGTATGGAGTAGTGAGTGCTCTTCCTGATGTGCCATGTGGCATTCAGAAGCAGTAGGAGGGAAAAGAGCGATCTGGCTGCAGAGGCCGGGTCTCCGTCTCACGTGTTAAGTCCCCAGCATCACCTCAGATGGGTGCAAGATCCTTGGACAGAGCTTCTTACTCCACGGTGAGGGGAGAGTGGAGGTGCTGGTGCTGAACGGGGCTGCATGGCTTTCTTCTCGTTTCAGATTCTTTAAAATTTTGATGGAATCCATCAGAAAGAAGAATAATAAGGCGTCAGCTTTCAGAAACGTAAACACGCGGAGAGCTACCCAGCGGGATCTGGACGACGCTGGGGAGTTGGAGAGGAGTCGGGTGAGCATGTCCCCGGGGCCCCACGGGGAGGGTCCGAGGCTGGGAAGTGCAGAGGGGGGCGACTCACCGCGTCTGCCCCCTGGGAAGGCTCTGTGACTGTCCTCAAGCCCCATCCTGGTGTTGGCCCATCTGTTTGCTTAGCGTTTAGTGCTTTTCTGAGAGAGCCAAGAAGCAACGTTTCCTTCCTGGGTGTGGTGGGCCATGCACGGGAGGCTGCCAGGCAGCACGGTCGTCTGGGCCTTGGGTGAGGGCCCAGGTCACCCATCTGTCTGCTCTCAAGAACCCTTCATTAAGTGATGTTTTTATCCTGAGGATAGACTCAAAGCAATGGTCCCCATTGGGCTTTTAGAAGTTCTTTTTCTGGTTTCGTTGGCTTGGCTTGTGGTCTACCTAGGCCAGATGAACTGAGGCCCACGGAGTACTGGGCAGGGACCAGAGAGGCATTTTGAAGTAGGGAGATTGAGCTACAGCAACGAAAAAGGAAGGAGCCAGGGAAAAGCCATTGGACGCCAGGGAGTCTAGGAATGGTCATACCTCATCTGCCAGGAGACCCGAGGCCGGGTGGGGCTGGTCCCTGGGTGTCGTCTGACCAGCTGTTGGAGGGGCTGTGCCCTGCTGGGGCAGGGCTGCGACCAAGACTGGTCCTGCTCCTGCTTGGCTCGGTGACCTCAGCTGTCACCTCCTCTCTCTCTCTGGGCCTCATCCCTAAATGAGGGATGGGTCTCTTCATCCCTAAAATGACTTCCTGGCCTAGACAGAGAATGCCAGGTCTCCTGCCCCCAGGGTCCGCCAGTTGGCTAACTCAAGTGCGGATGGACTTGGAATATTTTTGAAAGGCTGCCCAGTCTTGATTCTTAAATCCCCGAGAAGGAGACTATAAGAAACTAGGAGCTGAGATCAGGAGGAAGGTATAAATATTTGGGTGTTAAAATACCAAGACAACCCTTTCTCTTCATCTCCACCCAGAATAAAAATATTTGGATCAATATTATCACCATCTTCTTTCAATGCCTTGGAAAGCCTTGGCACTTTTTTTTTAATGCAAGATTTTGCAAGTGGTACATGTAAAGATTTAGCCTGGAGAGAAGGAGGCATGGAATCCAGAGGTGGGGGTGCTGGTGGAGGGAGTGTGGCAGGTCGCAGAGGGATAGTTGGGAAGGTGGTAGGTGACTGTGTGCTGGGTGGGTCAGGCGGGTGGCTGGATGGGTGAGTGAGGAGAGCAGGCGATAGTTGGGAGGAAAGGCTGGTGGTGGGTGGACAGACAGACACACCAAACACTGGGTATTACAGCCATCTTCCTCCTCCTTGTCCCCAAACCACAGGGAGAGCAGGATGGGGGTGAGGAGGAGGAGGGACACATTGTGGACGCCGAAGCTGAGGAGGGAGACGCGGATGCCTCGGACGCCAAACGCAAGGAGAAGCAAGAGGAGGAGGTAGGGGACTGTGGCTGAGGTGAAGGGGCTGTGGTCCCGGCCCATCTCCACCACGCCTGAGGGGTCACCTCCCACACCTAAGGCCACACCTTTGTAG